GGAGGTAGGTGAGGTGATAGGTGTTGGAGGGTTGTGGAGTGTGTCTGTGTCCGTGGGTGTTAATAGTCCACATGGCCCAGGGAAAAAAGAAGAAAGTGAACTTTCTTGCAAAACCTGAACAATAGATTTGAACAACACACTAGTCAGTTTGAAGTGACAGGAGGCAAGACGTTTTTTTCAATTCAAAAGCGTCACAAATGCACTACATCTGGGTTGTTGTTTGTTTTTTTTTTAATCATTTATTCAAGTTGGTGGGTTAAAGTGACCAGTGGCTGTGGCGGTAGGTGAGGTGATAGGTGTTGGAGAGGTGTGGAGTGTGTCTGTGTCCGTGGGTGTTAAGAGTCCACATGGCCCAGGGAAAAAAGAAGAAAGTGAACTCCTTGTCAGTGTGACACAGCTCACCACTGCACACCACCAAATGTGACCTCTGTTTTTAACCCATCACCAAAGTGAACAGTGGCAGCTTTAAGAACCAGGGAGCAGTGAGGGGGGACGGAGCCATGACAGAGCACCTCAGTGGGAACTGGGCAGCTGGTGGACTCCAACCAGGACCCAAGTCCGCTTCCCCAACCACTAAGCCACCACTGCCCCTGTTGTTTATCCTGTTTTTCCGTCTGGCGATGTGGGATTTGATTGACCTGAATCTCATTTTAAGCCAGCCATAACATTTAAAAACATATTTGAAACTATACTTTCCTTTTATTTCCTTGTTAAATTATTTAATTAAGACATACTGTAATGTTTCATTGTTTGTTTGTTTTTTGTTTTTTGTTGTTGTTTTTTTTTACTATACCTCCGCGTTGGACATGACTTGGAAACCATGCTATTAACCTAACAGTAAATTCAACAGGTACGAGAAATACAAATAGCAAGAACTCAATGTTCTGGGTCACTACATTCCTTTGCACACTGAAGCGCTTTCACTACTTCCTGGTTTATCACTCATTCCAGGCAGATTCAGGAGGTTGCCAATGAACAAACTGTACAGGTCACAGACTAATCTAATTATCAGTCACTACAACTGTCTTTTAATGACATAAGAAAACCAGTTTAAAGCCAAAGGTGCCATGTAATTTGTTGCTCGTGAAGTTATTCTCTCATCATTGGGTCCTGGGTAACATGATAAATTTAATCACAACTTAATTGTATTACATTTTAATACAAAATGCGTGTCTTGTCTCAGGCAGCAGCCTTCGAAACAGAAGTCTGTTGTACGTATTCGTAGTAACCTCTCTTTCATTAAACTTGGGTTTGTGTTTGCTTTATACCGCTTCCATCCATTTTTCAAATATAGTGAAACGCATGAAATATCTAACAATCTTTGTTGCGTGGATTTAAACAAAAATTTAAAAACAGCAAATGTTGTGCAATCATTTGTTCATCAAAGTTTTTCACCCAATGAATTAGTTTTGCCTTATGTTGTAGTTGTGTGCATGACGGCAATAAATAACTACTTCTATTTAATATAGGTCTTTATGTCCAGCTCAGCTGTTCTAGTGAAAAGATGAAAATAATCAGTTTGAATGACAAAGCTGCTGTTTTGGACGATGCTGCAAAACCTTTATCCGTTTCTAACTTTGCAACCAAAATGTCATTGTCAATAAAAGTTGCCACTGTAGGGGTTTGCTAAATGTTGAAGGGCATGAGAGAGAGAGAGAGAGTGAGAGAGACACACAAACACACCGTTTTCTAATTTTGGACTGAAGGTATGATCAACTTATTCATCCGTGAGATTTCTCTCAACCGTGCCAACATGTTTCTACTTTAATTGGCAGACAGACATCCATATTTGGGCTGTTGTTGAGTAGTTACTGTATAGTGCAATGTTAACCTGTTTAGGGCACGGCAGCACCAACAAAGGAACTCGCTGAGCTAAAGATTCTTGTGCTAATCTTACTGTACTGCAGGTGTAAATCCACACTTGTATTTGTTCTTCCAGTAAATAAGGATTAACTTAATCTTTTGTGAGTCCTGTTGTGTCCAACAAAACTGGTTTATAATCCCAGAAGTCGTGTTTAACTGAAGTAAACAACTCATTAAGCACAAATATTTTAGAAAATACTACACTGTTTATCCATCTGCAAGTGTGTGTGATGGGGGGTCTACTACTGCTAATAAAAGTAATACAATTCTATAAATAATTTGTAAGACAGTCTAACTTCAGATCATTTAATCTGGTCAGTCACATGGTAGCTGTGGCCTAATGATGATTATTGTGATTATAATTAACCATGGTTAATATCGATGAAGATAATAAATCAACATTCCCAAATCGGACAAAAATCTATTTTTTTCTGTGCGCTGCTGGAACAGAAAGACAAATGACAGCAGGAAGACACCTCTTTTGTGACTGAAAAGAATGGATTTTCTTTTATATGGAAAAATGTCAAAAAATATCTGCAAAGTATACCTCAAAACCTTGCTTCACAGATTTGGTGCCTGGAGTCAGTGAAATGGTATTTTAAAGCTCCAGGTGCTTCATGAAACAAACATTTTCCGTGTTAGAGCGAGGATTAGTGGATAGATGGATGGTTGATCTGGAAATAAGTCTTCAAAAAATGTCAAACTTCAAACCCCTCTTTCTGAAATAAATAATAACAATGCAAAGACAATTTTTATTTAACAAGAAATTCAATTATTAAAGAGAATTTACAAAGTACTCTGTTTGAGAACAGTGACTCAGTCATTCTTGTGAGCGACAGTGATGCTGTGACTCACTGACTGGATATTGACAGGCTTATAAAGAGGTTATTGTTTCTGTTGTTTTGTTTTGTTTTTTTCATATGTACCTGCATGTTGACCTGTAAAGAAGACAGGTCAATCAGACACTACTAAACAAACATTTGCTTTTAAAACCAAATAAAAGTCAAGAGTCTTCTTGCACCTGAATGCACCATTATTGCTGTATCTGGTAGAACTGCGGCGCAGTGGTGGTTTGGTGGTTATGGCAGCATACGTGGGACCAGAAAGATTCAGGTTTGAGTCCACCAGCTGCTAAGTTGCCACTGAGGTGCTCAGAGCATGGCACCGTTTGGACCGTGGCACTCTTTTTTTTTTTCTGATTCTTTACAGATTTCCCAGAAAGCCTTTGCCACTGACAGCACGTGTGTTGTCTTGTTTTAAAAACACATTCTAAAATTTTGACCATTTCTTTTTAGGCCACGCTTTCTTTATAGTGCTTTTAGTACAGCATGTTTGTGGGACATAGCATAAGGGTTATTTTAGTATTTTAGTAAAGGAATGACATAACTTGTCGTAACTTGTTCATTAAATCATATTCTTAACAGAATATAATCCCAGATTTCTAGAGAGAACATGTCATTAATCCAAGAGCAGCTAAAGTCATATCATCAAGAAAAAGAGGCACAAAGTGGATTTACTGTTTGTTTGTGTTTGTCTACATAATTTTGCATGACCAAAGTATAATTTTCTTTGTTAAAATACTAACTTGTTATTGACCAAGGACTTAAGAAAAAGGGGAATTTCCCAGCAATGACACATGACACCAACACAGTCTGTTCTCAAACTGCACATGTACGGGAAGGGTTTTTTTGTTTTTACACCATTTGCTGTGAGTCAGATCACAGTTTCATTCCGATCCTGTTTCCTACCATCCATCAAAGACACAAGTATGTGAACCTGTGCCTGTGTTCCGTTGACAGAGACAGCATTTCACCTGTACATGTGGTTTTGCTGGTTGGTCTGCTTTTTTTTTTTCTGTTTTCACCTTCCACTGCTAGTGGATAGATTTGAACAACACACTAGTTAGTTTTAAGTGACAGGAGGCAAGACGTTTTTTTTAATTCAAAAGCATCACAAATGCACTACATCTGGGTTGTTGTTTTTTTTTTTTTAATCATTTATTCAAGTTGGTGGGTTGACCTAAACCACAGGAGCTGTTGGTTTACCCCTGCCTTCGGTGGTGACAATGTGTCAGCAACTTCCACCAAAAGAAGTATTTATAACCAAAATAATAGATTAAAATGATCACGAGTGCGATTAAAAGTAACAGCGCAATACATGACAACGCAGTAGATGCAAAACTAGGTTAAGAAAGAAAATGCACAATTCAGTTCAATTGTCAGAACAGTTCACTGGTTGCACAGTTGTTGAAGTAGTAGAGTTTTTCCCCCTATGTAGACTTTCATGGCATCCTGCCACAGCAGGTTTTGTGAGGTATTAACTGCAGGGTGTGAAAGTATATATCTATACTTCAAAGTTTTTAGGCCTCACTGCATTCTGTACGGTTCATTAAGGCTGCAGAACGACTATAGTGGAATACTCTGTTACCTAAGATATGTTCCACTCCATTGTCTTGATGAATGTCTCCTTCCTGTCACCTAACACTTGTGAAACCTGATTGAAATTCAAGTGGCCTGGAGGGGTGCTCTCAGGTGCACTTTTAAATCAAATTAATTTTGCTAGTGCTCTAGGTACTTAACCTGGTGGTAATACTTTATTTGCAACGCCTTTGTTGAATATTGTCTTTTTTTTTTTTTTTTTGTGGAAAAACTAGTAGATAGTTCACACATTCAGTTTAGCAGAGATCCACTGCTCTTAATTGCTGACAACAACCCCATTGTTTGCTTATTGAATCGTACAATTACAAAAAAACAACAACATCTGCAGTAGTTCAGGTACCATGTATAGCTAGATGCTGTGCAAATGGTAAAATCGCACTGTCTGAATGCTTGTTTTGCCCCTTAAGACTGTGATTGCTTTATGTCAAGTGTGTTTGCCAATGCTAATGCTAACTTTGCCAACAAATCTGTTTCTTGTCTTGTAGAAAGACGTATTGCTTCAATTTAAAATTGTTGTCACTTGGCATCTAATGAAGGTGTACTGTTTTGACCATTGAAAACAGCAGTGTAGTCGGTACTGGAACCGATTCTGATGATCATCAGGATCTCCAACGGTTGCTTCTTTATTGTAATGAAGCTAGAGCTGAAACATGTTTGACTTAGTGTCTTTCTCTGCTTTTTCTGACCTCTGAATTCCAGGTACTACCATTTCTACCAGTCTGCCACTGGCTTCATAAACCTTTGAGAAGGTGGTTCAGGGGCAGATCCAGTTTAAACTGGTCTCTTATCTATTGGTAACATTGCTCCACTGAAATCCAGGCATTCAGAGTGAGACAGGACAAATCAGTCAGTGTTGCAGTTTGTCTTTGATAATCCATTTGCTGTAGTTAAATTACCGAAATCAAACCTGGCACAAAACATCCAGAAATACTCTAGTTACACTGCGTGTGCACAGTAGAAAAATCTCCAGCTGTGTAGGAGCCATGTACCAGCCCTTTCCTTGATGCTTGACTACGTGATGTGGAGACGGTGTTTCATCAAGCCAAGACCAGTAATTCCAGAAAGACAAAGAACAAAGCGTGCCTCATATGGGGCGGAGCTTCCTGGACGTCACACAGGGTGTGACAAATGTACCGGGTATTTAAAGACTTGCGGCGCCGCATGTTCTTCATACAGTCAAGAAGATAAAGGATAAAGGACATTAACACAACAATGTCATCACCTGCAGGTAAGAGCAAAACACTAATAATTCAGTTTTAGGAGCTATGTTGATCTGTTGTTCATTTCTATTTGTTCATCACAATTTTCTTCATAAAATAATTTGAGACCTTTGTTTAACAGGAAGAAAAATGTCTTTGCAAACCTTCACGGAGCAGTTCAAGTGCTGCATCTGTCTAGACATTTACACCGACCCAGTCTCGCTCCCATGCACACATAACTTCTGCTTAAAGTGCATCCAAGCCTATTGGGACACAAAGGGCAAATGTGAATGCCCCCTGTGCAAGAAGATGTACAAAAAACGTCCGACCCTCTGGATCAACCGGGAATTCGCTGAAATCATTGACGTCCTGAGGAGGTTTGTTTGAACATTGTACAAGTAGTAACGTTACTCTTGCTGAAATCCCATTTTCACAAACTAAAGCTGAATGTTCTATGTACACAGAGCAACACAGGATGACACTGAGGTTCCGACCAGTATTGTCAGTCCGCCCCCAAGACAGCAATGCATCGCTGTTCCCTGTGACATTTGTCATGGAAGTGAGTCCACATCTGTCAAATCGTGCCTCGTTTGCCAGGAGTCGTACTGTGAAATGCACCTCGCACCTCACAGCAGAGTACCGGCCCTGAAGAGACACCCACTCGTCGACCCCGACATCTTGATCAACAGCCACGTCTGTAGGGAGCACGGCAAACCACTGACCCTGTTCTGCAAAACAGACCACCAGCCGGTGTGCGTGTCCTGCACAGAGGGAACTCACAGACGCCACGAGGTGATTCCCATGGAGAAGGAGAGCAGAAGAATCAAGGTATGTTTTTCATCAAGTTGTTGACTTTTTCTTATTGATTTGTGATGTGGGTTTGTGCTTCCTGTGTATGCAAAAAGTCCAATAGCATGTTCATTTTCCAGAATCACATGAAGGCAACCAAGCTCAACATTCAGCAGATGATTCAGACCAGACTGAGAAAAATGGATGAGATCACAAAGGCCGTGGAAGATGGCAAAGTAAGTTGGACAGAAGTCCTGGTCTATGTCACACCTGTAGGGTGTGCTGACGGGGGGAGGGAGGGACAAAAGAAAAAAACAAACAGTCTTTTTAGGGCTGCAGAAAAGAAGGTGCAAATTGAGAACAATCAGCAGCCAGCATTTTAGTAACATGGAAGCAAAAAAAAAACAAAAAGCACTTAAAGGCTATGAGGAGACTAGCAAACACTCTTTTTGTTTCTTTTGACAGAAAATCACTGAGTGGGAGATTCAGAGGAACGGCAGGGTGTGCACCACACTGATGAAGGCCATCCAGAGACACTACACTGAGCTGGTGGCAGAACTGGAGGAGAAGCAAATGAAAGCCCAGCAGAGGGCAAATAAGATACTGGAAAAGCTGGAGCAGGAAATTAGTGACCTTCAGACAAGGACAAGCGAGCTGCAGCAGCTGGAATTCACAGAGAACCCTATTCACCTGATACAGGTCAGAACTCTTGGCCCTGGTTTCTGCATTTTTTTTAAATGTTGCATTGTTGTTACTGTCGACATGTAGACTCAAGACAAACTGGTCTTTTTCCAGGGTTTCCCATCACTCAGTATCCTCCCAACCTCACAGGACTGGTCTGAAGTCACAGTCCAGTCTGATAACACAATGTGGACACTGAAGAAGGCCGTCAATAAGCTGGCCGATGTTTGTCAGGAGGCCACGTTCCAGCTGTCCTTGGAAGGTAAACAAACATCAGACCATCTAGACCTTCCTCTTATTGTATTTTCTGCTGAAGTTGTTGTCAAGCAGAGAGCCGTGAAATGCACATTATTAATCCTTTTTGTTTCCTTTTCTTTTTCTTCATGCTCTCTGCAGAAGCAGACAAGATGAAACAGTATGCAGGTACGTTCAGATGCCTTATTTACTCCTACACATAATTAGGAACCCCAAGGGTCAATCTTTGGTCAACCTCTACAGCTTAAGCAGAATTTCTCCATTAAAACAAATCAGTGCGTGCGTTCAGACAGAGCTCAGATCAGGCGATATTTTCCACATACGCCCTGAAATCCTCCATGACGTCTATATTTGTGCAAAAATAACACAGACATAGTCAGATCAGATTTCATGTCTCACAAGAGTCTTATGCAGGAAAATATTTCAGGGTGTGTGTGTGTTTACACTTGACGTGCTTAGCTAAATTAAAAAGGGCTTACATCTGTTTGCTACCTTCCAAACATTGGTGTGGAACAATATTAAGCTGCATCATTATTTTAAAAGTTGGCTCTCAGTCTGCAACAACAGCGTCACTGACATCACAAAGGCATCATTCAACCTGTCTGAAGAACCTACTAATAATATAACAATGATTTCCTCTGTCGTTATTCGCTGACTCTTCTTTCTGGGGTTGAAATAGTCATGCATGTATTAACTTGAAGATGATCAAACTGGATTTGTCTCATTATTATCCTTTTTTTTTAACTACAGATGATGTAACTCTGGACCCAGAGACTGCTTCTGGTTGGCTGCTCCTGTCCCCAGATGGAAAAGAGGTATTTATTTTTTAACAGACTGCTTTTACCATCATATACCATCACTGTGGCAGAACTCAAGGTTCTTTATCTAGAAATATAAATGAATAAGGGGAAACAAACGTTGAACGATTTCTTTGATTCATTTGTAGGTGAGCATCAGCAGCCACAAGAGAAAGGCTTCCCTCCCAGACAACCCTCAGCGCTTTGACGCCTGTGTCTGTGTTTTGGGGAAACAGAGTTTCACATCTGGGAGACACTACTGGGTTGTTCAGGTATGTATTTGACTGACAGGGAAACACACCACCAAGAAGAAATTAAAACAAGTGATTTTTAGTTTAATGTTTTTTCAATTATTTTGGGACTAAGTCTTTCTGTTCACGTTTTAGGTCGGAGATAAAACAGATTGGGATTTGGGTGTGGTCAGGAAGTCCATCAACAGAAAGGGCGCCATCACAGTGTGTCCTGACAGTGGTTTCTGGGCCATATGCAGACGCAAAGGTGGCCTCAGCCTAAGTGCCTGTGCCCGTCCCTCTGTTACCCTCCACCTCCAGGAGACGCCCCAAAGAGTTGGCATCTTCCTGGACATCGAGGAAGGCTCAGTGTCCTTCTACGACGCTGATGCCAAGAATCATATCTACACCTACAGCGGCTGCAACTTCACTGAGCCCATCTACCCCTACTTTAACCCCTGTGTCCAGGAGAATGGCAGAAACAGCGAGCCTCTCATCATCAGCCCTATGTCCACTATACAGGAGGGAATGACCATTGGTACAGAAGTGTAGTACCGTCCTGTTTGAACTTTTTTTCTAATGTATTTATTGCACCTTGGTGTTATTTACATACTGACCTGCAGCAGGTCGAGAAACTCCTGTTTACTAAAGCTAAACGACGCACACGAGTAATGTCTGATTTTCAACTGTATTGTATTCTTTGTATTGTGTATTATGTGGATATTCAACGCACGTATAAAGCACTGTCCATCCTGTTAAAGCCATGACCTCAATGTGTAATGAACACAAAATGTAATCAATTGTTTACTTATATGTTCTATTTATCTTTTATAGCTTTTTTTCTGTACAGTTTTATGGTGAAAAATGATTGTTATCACACGACAGAGTTACAACTATGGGGCGGTTCAATACATTGTATTTGCAATTGCTGTATTTTACTTCTTCATCTATTTTATTATTATCTTATCCATTTAAGACACAACTTTAATTGTACATTTGTGATTTTATATGTACAGACAATATTTAAATTATAACATGTACTTCAATCCTTATAAATTATATTCGAATAAAATTTTAATAAAGAAAAACAACAATGAGTCATTTGTTTTTAATGTTTTTAATTAGGTTGGGTTGTGATGATGACTACAGTTTCACTCTTGTTACTAATGGGGTGTGACGAGACCTCGTGACTAAGACGGTAATATTTCACGCTTAAGTGATCAACTTTGGCTCAGGACTGTGAGCCGCCCAACCTTCAACCTGTGACCAATGAGGAGCAGTCATGCGCCTTTGAATTTAGTCCAGTGTTAATTTTGTTGTCTGAGGAATACTACACACAACAACAATACTACGCACTAATATCATTAAACAAAGTTACACCAATCCAAATAAGTTTCTTAACTTATTTCTTAACCAAGATAATATAATAATAATAATAAAAAATTTAATAAAAACGCAAATGCATAACTATGAACGTTTTACTTTCATGGGGCAAAAAGTTCCTTAGAAAATACCTCGTTAATCACTTGTTATTGTCATAACAATAAAATGATTTTGTGTGGGTTTTTTGTGTGCCTTTTTTTGACACACTAAAAGTCCATTAAAATACTTAAAATCAACTTTTTTTTTTTTACCTGGGTTGCAACATCCCCTGAAACACCACTGAGCAAAAAAGAAATTTTCCATATAATTAAAGCAATTAAACATTTTCTAATGACTCACCAAACATAATGACTCATATACTGTCTAACATGTTTACAAAAGTCTACCAGTTTGACTCTGGTTTCAAGGCTGCCCGTCAGCCTGTGTTTGTCTGAGTGTCTGTTGTTAGTGTCTGAGCAGAAACTGTACACAGAACGCTTAAAATTAATAACACTGATGCTATACGTTGTTAAGTGTCATGGGGTGTACTGTATATAAGTTCACTAGCAGGGACGCTGTACTCTCTCTGTGTTTCGGTGTGTTTTTTGTATCTGTTGCCATTGTCCAGGAAATCTTGACGTACATTTTCCTCGTAGAAAATAGACTCAGCAGTTTGTCAAATGAAAAAACGTGGAGCTGTTAGAAAGACCTAAATAAGAAA